GGCCCGGGTCAGTAGGGGGCCCCATGAGATGTCCCTGGTATCTTTTTCATAGGTTTTTTTGAGTTTGGGCAAGGACACAGGGGCCCCATGATCCCCTATTGCCCAGGGGCCCCATGAGTTGTCAGTCCGCCCCTGTACTGAAGACATAGTCCAAGTACAAACTTACCACTGAAGACATAGTCCGGGTACAGACTTGCCACTGAAGACATAGTCGGGGTACAGACTTGCCGGGTACAGACTTGCCACTGAAGACATTCAGGACACAGTCTAGGTACAGAATGACCGCTCAGGCACAGTCTAGAAACAGACACGGTCACACTGGAATCGCACATGTGCTGTGTGCATTGTGATCTGCGTTTGTGGGTTCGTTAGGTTTGCATTGACATCCACAGCAGAATGCACAGCCAGTGCAAGAAATGCACATGGAACATCTCGAGAGGGACATTTCTGCCCATTCTTTTTTGCAAAATAGCTCAAGCTCTGTCTGATTGGATGGAGAGCATCTGTGAACAGCAATTTTCAAGTCTTGCCACAGACTCTCAATTGGATTTAGGTTTGGACTTTGACTGGGCCATTCTAACACATGAATACACTTTACTCTAAACCATTCCATTGTAGGTCTGGCTGGATGTTTGGGGTCGTTGTCCTGCTGGAAGGTGTCAAGTCTTTTGCAGACTCTAACAGGTTTTCTTCTAAGATTGCCCTGTATTTGGCTCCAGCCATCTTCCCATCAACTCTGACCAGCTCCCCTGTCCCTGCTGAAAAAAAGCATCCCCACAACATGATGTTGCAACCACCATGTTTCACGGTGGGGATGGTGTGTTCAGGGTGATGTGCAGTGTTAGTTTTCCGCCACACATAGTGTTTTGCTTTTAGGTCAAAAAGTTCAATTTTGGTCCCGTCTGACCAGAGCCCCTTCTTCCACATGTTTGCTGTGCCCCCCACATGGCTTCTCGCAAACTGCAAATGGGAATTCTTATGGCTTTCTTTCAACAATGGCTTTATTCTTGCCACTCTTCTATAAAGGCCAGATTTGTGGAGTGCACAACTAATAGTTGTCCTCAGATTCTACCACCTGAGCTGTGGATCTCTGCAGCTCCTTCAGAGTTCCCATGGGCCTCTTGGCTGCTTCTCTGATTAATGCTGTCCTTGCCTGGCCTCTGAATTTAGGTGGACGGCCATGTCTTGGTAGGTTTGCAGTTGTGCCGTACTCTTTCCATTTTCAGATGATGTATTGAACAGTGCTCCGTGAGAAGTTCAAAGCTTGGGATATGTTTTTATAACCTAACCCTGCTTTAAAGTTCTCCACAACTTTATCCCTGACCTGTCTGGTGTGGTCCTTGGCCTTCATAATGCTGTTTAATCTCTATGGTTTCTAACAAACCTCTGAGGGCTTTACAGAACAGCTGTATTTATACTGAGATTAAATGTCACACAGGTAGACTCTACTTACTAATTAGGTCACTTCTGAAGGCAATTGATTCCACTAGATTTTAGTTAGGGGTATCAGAGTAAAGGGGGCTGAATACAAATGCACACCACACTTTTCACTGTGTATTTGTAAAAAAAACATTTATCATTTTCCTTCCACTTCACAATTATGTGCCACTTTGTGTTGATCTATCAGATCAAATCCCAATAAAATACATTTTTTGTTTTTGGTTGTAACATAACAAAATGCAGAAAATTTCCAGGGGTATGAATACTTTTTCATGTCACTGTAGAGCTTTCTTTAGGTGGTATTTGATCACCACTGGGTTTTTTCATTTATTGCTCTATAAACAAAAAAAGGCCGCCAATTTAAAAAAAAAAAAAAAAAAAAAACAATACTTTTTACAGTCTTTCATAAAACATATCCAATAAACAAAATTTAATTTCTTCATAAATTTAGACCAAAATGTATTCTGCTACATATTGTTTGTAAAATAATCCCAATGGGCATATACTGATTGGTTTGCACAAACGTTATACCGCCTACAAACTATGGTATATATGCTGGAACTAGTAATGACGTAATATATCTCAGCCAATGAGGAGAGGGAGTCCCGGGATTGCCGAGACTCCAGTGCACATCGCTGGGTCAAGAGGAGGCTTAGGTGAGCAATAGGTGGGCTGCTACACACAGAAAGTTTTTTTTACCTTCATGCATGGAATGCATGAAGTTAAAAAACCTTGAGCCTTTACAACCCTTTTAACTGCACGTTCTATCTCCGCTGGTTCATGGCTCCTGACAGGTGTACAGTACATGCCACTGGAGGGGGGGACTGCGTGCATTCTTTCAGCCTAGAGCGTAATATATGTTGCCACTAAAGAGACACAAAACGCGTTGATGATGTTGTAACCTGTTTTTAAACCCCGATAAATACCAACCTACCTGCATATTCCACTTGGAAGCACCTTTTTTACTTAATGGGAACCTCTGCTGACCATACACTGGTTCCAATTTGGGGCCTCATCCTCTTTATTATAGTTAAGTGTTGGGAAACCTCACGGTCATGTTCGTTGTGGATCATTGTTTGAAGTAGGAAGGAAGGGAAAGCATGGCAGGTCTAAAGTATCTACCTTCCAAACAAATCTCTATATTTCTGTCCTGACAGGTTCTCATTGGGCTATAAAGCATGCAATACGGACCTTGGAATAAAATGCCATAAACAGGGCTGGATGTGGGGGTGCAGTAAAAAATGTCAGGCGTGAGGAGGTCAGCAGAGCAATGTACAGGGGGTCAGCAGGGCAGAGGGTAGGATCAACAGTTTGTATACCAGTGTACCGTAGCTATTTGTTTTTAGGAACGGGTACAGGGGTCGGTTGGGCAGTGTACAGTGGGTCAGCAGGGGGTGTGCACAGGAATGGGATTAACGACTGGCCAAGCAGAAGAAAGGGGTAACCCCTGGCAGGGCAGAGGAGAGGGGTCACTGTGGCAGGGCAGAGAATGAGGTTAACGACTGGCCGAGCAGAAAAAAGGGTAACCCCTGGCAGGGCAGAGGAGAGGGGTCACTGTGGCAGGGCAGATAATGGGGTTAAAGACTGGCCAAGCAGAAGAAAGGGGTAACCCCTGGCAGGGCAGAGGAGAGGGGTCACTGTGGCAGGGCAGAGAATGAGGTTAACGACTGGCCGAGCAGAAGAAAGGGGTAACCCCTGGCAGGGCAGAGGAGAGGGATCACTGTGGCAGGGCAGAGAATGAGGTTAACGACTGGCCGAGCAGAAGAAAGGGGTATCCCCTGGCAGGGAAGAGGAGAGGGGATCACTGTGGCAGGGCAGAGAATGAGGTTAACGACTGGCCGAGCAGAAAAAAGGGGGAACCCTTGGCAGGGCAGAGGAGAGGGGTCACTGTGGCAGGGCAGAGAATGAGGTTAACGACTGGCCGAGCAGAAGAAAGGGGTCACCGTTGGCAGGGCAGAGGAGAGGGGTCACTGCTGGCAGGAGAGAAAACAGGGGTCACCGCTGGCAGGGCAGAACACAGGGGTCACCGATTCTCTTTCACTCAGCTATGATCTGCAGTGTGTAGCTGGTTACTGCAGCAGTGCTGCCATTTTGAGCAGGGCATTTCACAGGTCAGAAGTGCAAAATAGTACCCAGCTACACACTCTGCAGATCATAGCTGAGTGAAAGAGAATTGGATTTCAGCTCTGTGTTGTGTGGGGAAGAGCCGAGGAGGAAATCTTGCTGCCTGTGCTCAGACTGTGCATGTACAGTGCAGGGATGAGGGGGCGGCCGGGCACAGCGTCAGGTGTGGATGGGGGGAGTGACTCATGAGTGGCAAGCTTTGGGGGGGGCACAACTGGAATCTGGGGGGGGGTAAAACCCATCCCAGCACCCCCCTAGATCCAGCCATGGCTATAAACAGGATCACGATTGTGGAAGGTTTCCCATGTGTGATCACGTTAGTGGCGGCAGCATTGCGTCATATTTCTATATTGTAGCAATAATGCCAAACGTGGAGGAAGCAAAGACATGAATTATATACATGTGTCCCTCAGGGGCCACTACGCCTAAACAAAAGCTGTTTTATATGAAATATCTTCTCTTTAATATTTATTTTGCGTACAAATTGCTCCCGCCTCCTGTTATAAATCAGAAAAATGAAATCAATTAAAAAATAAATTAAAATGTCCTCGCCTGCAGATTTTTATGCCGGATCTTTTGCAGATTTTTTCCCTCCCGTAATGCCTTTGGCCGCTCCAACCACAAAACAAGTTTTTAGTCACAACTTTTAAAATGACAAACGGGCCGCAATAAAGAGACCAGCGGGAAGATGTTTAGTGAGTGTATTATGTCGGTGAAATGCAGAACGTTATTAAAGCCAGGACATCAAACCATGAGGGAGCTTCTACATTGGGGGGTGTTATGAGAAAAAAAAAAAAGAAGCAGATTAAATGCTGCCGTTTCCCTCCTCCCGCCGTTATTGTAGAGGACAAAACTGACGGGCGTTTTCATTTTGGCTTTATGAAGCCTTGCGGTGTCTTTGGAAGAGGCGGGTTGTAGCAGGTAAATTTCGCCTTTTGATGTAAAATTACTTTTTTATATTGAGCAGGAAGCATGATAAGCAAAGCTTAGAACTGCCTTCAGAATGAATTCCGCTCAGGTCAACATTCTCTTCTAAGACTAAAAGAAATAATGGAGAAGTATTTCACAATATTAATCAAATCCTCACTGATGTATATTGCTAGCTGGCTGCAAAGGCAAGAAAGCCGTGTCATTACAGGTGGTATTTAGGTATCACTATATCACCACCCTATGGTCACTAAATATGGTGGCCTTTCTCAGCCAAGGTTCCGTAGAAAACTAGGGTTCCTCCAGAAGTTGTTAGGGGTTCCTTGAGCAATGAGCAACTTTGGCTTATCAGAAAGGGAACTGATGACACCAATGATCCAGAGCCAGGGGTCTCCAAACTTTCTAAACAAAGGGCCAGTTTACTTTTCTTTTTTTGGGGGGGGGATCAGACTGTGGCTAGTGGCAGCAGAAAATGCGTCAGATTTGACGGTCAGTGGGAAAAGGAATAGTACCCCATCACTGGTGTCAGTGGAAGGAATAGTGCCCCATCAGTAGTTTCAGTTGGAGGAATAGTGTCCCATCATTGGTATGAGTGGGAGGAACAGTGCCCCAACATGTGTCAGTTGGAGGAACAGTGCCCCATCATAGGTGTCAGTGGAAGGAATAGTGCCCCATCATTCGTATCAGTGGGAGGTATAGTTACATAGTTAGTCTGGCTAAAAAAAAGTTATAATCCTACACCCACAGTTGATCCAGAGGAAGGCAAAAAAAACCAGCAAAGCATGATCCAATCTGCTCCTGCAGGGGTAAATTTCCTTCCTTATCCACCGAGAGGCAATCGGATATTCCCTGGATCAACTTAGTTGATAGTGTCCCATTCTTGGTACACTATACTGCAGGAATACTGCCCCATCATTGGTGTCAGTGGGAGGAATAGTGCCCCATCATTGGTATCAGTGGGAGGAATAGTGCCCCATCATTGGTATCAGTGAGAGGAATAGTGCCCCATCATTGGTATTAGTGGGAGGAATAGTGCCCCATCATTGGTGTCAGTGGGAGGAATAGTGCCCCATCATTGGTGTCAGTGGGAGGAATAGTGCCCCATCATTGGTATCAGTGGGAGGAATAGTGCCCCATCATTGGTATCAGTGGGAGGAAGAGTGCCACATTGTTGGTGTCAGTGGGAGGAATAGTGCCCCATCATTGGTGTCAGTGGGAGGAATAGTGCCCCATCATTCATATCAGTGTGAGGAATAGTGTCTTATCCTTGATATCAGTAGGAGAAATAGTGCCCCATCACTGGTGTCAGTGGGAGGAATACTGCCCCATCATTGATTTCAGTGGGAGGAATAGTGCCCCATCATTGGTATCAGTGGGAGGAATACTGCCCCATCATTGATTTCAGTGGGAGGAATACTGCGCCATCATTGGTTTCAGTGGGAGGAATAGTGCCCCATCATTCATATCAGTGTGAGGAATAGTGTCTTCTCCTTGATATCAGTAGGAGAAATAGTGCCCCATCACTGGTATCAGTGGGAGGAATAGTGCCCCATCATTGGTATCAGTGGGAGGAATACTGCCCCATCATTGGTGTCAGTGGGAGGAATAGTGCCCCATCATTCATATCAGTGTGAGGAATAGTGTCTTATCTTTGATATCAGTAGGAGAAATAGGGCCCATCACTGGTGTCAGTGGGAGGAATAGTGTCTCTCCTTTTGGTATGAGTAGGAGGAATAGTGCTCCAACATTGGTATTTGTTAGAAGAATAATGCCCCCCATCATTGATGTCAGTGATAAGGATAGTGCTTCATCATTGATGTCAATTTAAGGAATGGCACCCCATCATTGATGCCAGTGGAAGGAATTGTGCCCTGTTGTTGGTGTCAATGGGAGGAATAGTTCCTCACTGTTGGTGTCAGTGGAAGGGATGGTGCCTCACTGTTGGTGTCGCTGGGATGAACAGTGCCATGTACCAATAGGAATTACAGTGCCCCAAGGGTCAGATAAAGGCAAGAAAAGGGTCACATTCGACCCATGGGCCAGAGTTTGGAGACCACTTGTTTAAGCTATCTGTCAGGAACCTGCCTATCGATTTTCTCACTGCCTGCACATTGCCAACTTCTGCTGTTCCCTGACTCTTCCTGCTCATGATTTGGAGGCTTCCTGTTTGACCATTACCAAACTTGGCATGGGACCAGGCTCTGATCTCTATTTGACTCACTTGACAATTGTATACTCTCTGTGGTGGTAAGGGAAGAATCCACCATCAGTTATTCTATAGGTGGAATCTGAGCTATCTGACTGTGCCATGCATCTTTAAAGGTTTGTCTTCTAACCCACACCATACAGGAGACTGCAACTCATCTAGGATAAAAATGTAATTTTTACCATCAATCAGAAAAATAAAAAAATACATTTTTCTGCTGGATCTCAACCCCAGCTATGGGAAATGTCCAGTTCTTGTTACTCTGGTGAGCACTTGCCAGCACAATACCCAGGGAAGGAATGGGAATCTTTTGCCTGGGGCCAGCTGACCCGTTCATGGTAGTGACAGATTTTCGTGTGCCATAATGTCCCATTGATATGGTGAAAGGTGTTTTTTTCCTAAATTTTTTCAGCATTGTCTTCCTTTGTGTTCTCAGCATGTGGGCATTCCAGAGCCGCAAAAGACGTCATGCTGGAAGTCTTCCCTATGTCAGATGTAGCTATTGTGGGGTTAGCTCAGGTGGGGGATCTCCTTCCCTGGGACAAAGGTAGACCGCACAGCAGGCTTTCATCAAAATCTGACTGGTTGTCAGCTTTATTTAAAAGGTTTGCAGGAAAATAAACAGAACATGAAAATAAACCCTTGCCATCCAGGCACTAACTAAACAAAAGATGATTCCTCTCTCTCAAAGGTGAAGGGCTTCTCCCTGTCACCAAAACAAAGTAACAGCAAACCTTTTCTTGCAGGTATAGTCCATACACACAGCTCTCTCAGAACACCTCTCTGAGTCCCAGGCCACGAGCAACTCCTTGCTCCAGCCCTGCCCTTTTTATACCACCTGTTGGTGGTCATCAGTGGAGCCCAAACTCTGGTCCGGACCCACCTGCTTAACTGTTGCCTCGAAAACCCGGAGTGGACTCCACCTAAACGGTCAGGTATGAGCATATGCGAGGTGACACATAGCGTCCCTCTATCACCTCGCCGTTCATCCTGTCACATATCCCCCCCCTCTGCTCAAGCCCCTGCGGCTGAGCAACTGTCCCAACCAGACAATGGACCCGGGAGAGGGCATCTACATTACTTTGCAGCTTCCCCGCTCTGTGTTCCACTGTGAATTTGAACACTTGTAGCGCGAGAAACCACCTTGTCACTCGACTGTTTTTCTCCTTATTATCACACATCCATTTGAGCGGGGCATGATCAGTAACCAACTTGAACGGTCTTCCTAACAGGTAATATTTCAGGGCCTCCAAGGCCCATTTGATGGCCAAACATTCCTTCTCCACAATGGCATAGTTTCTCTCATGTTTGTTGAGCTTTCTACTTAGGAAGACCACAGGGTGCTCCTCCCCATCTCTGATTTGGGACAGGACAGCACCTAGTCCCACATCAGAGGCATCAGTCTGTACCACAAACTCTGTTGTGAAATCTGGAGTCACAAGCACAGGTTGAGCACAGAGAGCTTGTTTCAGCCTTTGAAATGCGGTCTCCGCCTCAGGATTCCACTTAATCATGACTGACCCCCTACCTTTTGTCAGATCTGTCAGTGGGGCTGCAATGGTGGCAAAATTGGGGATAAACCGCCTGTAGTACCCCGTGATTCCAAGAAATGCCCGGACTTGTTTTTTATTTACAGGTTGGGGCCACTTTTGAATTGCCTCAATTTTATTGATCTGAGGCCTAATGAGACCTCGACCAATGATGTAGCCAAGATATTTGGCCTCCTCTAAGCCAATGGCACACTTTCTGGGGTTGGCGGTAAGACCTGCTTCCCGCAGCGAATCTACGACCGCTTGCAAGAGGGACAAATGAGATTCCCAGTCGGGACTGTGGATGACAACATCGTCCAAGTAGGCAGCTGCATATTGGCAATGTGGTCTCAACGTCTTGTCCATCATCCTTTGGAATGATGCAGGAGCCCCATGCAAACCAAACGGCATCTGCTTATACTGAAAGGACCCCTCGGGGGTGGAGAATGCGGTCTTTTCTTTTGCAGCTTCCGTTAAAGGAATCTGCCAATAGCCTTTGGTCAGATCTAAGGTGGTTATGTACCGAGCCGTTCCCAACCTGTCAATGAGCTCATCCACCCGAGGCATCGGGTACGCATCAAACTTGGACACACTGTTCAGTTTCCTGAAATCATTACAGAAACGAATTGTTCCATCTGGTTTTGGGACCAACACTATGGGACTCGACCACTCACTGTGAGATTCCTCAATCACTCCCAACTCTAACATGTCCTTTATTTCCTTTGCCACCGCTTCCCGCCTGGCCTCGGGTATTCTATAGGGCTTGACATTTACGCGGACCCCGGGCTGGGTAACTATGTCATGCTGTATGACAGTCGTCAGTCCAGGTAGGTGGGAGAAGAAATCTCCATTTTTCCTCACAAACTCCTTAACATCATTTTGTTGGGCTACTGACAAGGTTTCCGTTATAGGTACCTGAGGGGCCACGGGAACCACGTCCTTTTGGGGTCTTGGTACTGCCAACAAACTTTCCCTGTCTTTCCAAGGTTTTAAGAGATTCACATGATAGATCTGTTCGGGTTTCCTTTTTCCTGGCTGGTAAACTTTATAATTTACTTCCCCCACTTTCTCCCTAATTTCAAAGGGACCTTGCCACTTTGCGAGGAATTTACTTTCCACGGTGGGGACTAGCACCAGCACTCTATCCCCAGGGTTGAAGGTACGGATCCTGGCACCCCGGTTATAAACCCTTCTCTGGACCTCCTGGGCTTGCTCCATGTGTTCCCGAACAAGTGGCATGACAGCTGCGATTCTATCCTGCATCTGTGAGATATGCTCGATGACACTTCTATAGGGCGTGGTCTCTCCCTCCCAGGTTTCTTTTGCGACATCTAGCAATCCCCTGGGATGTCTACCATACAGTAATTCAAAAGGTGAATATCCTGTAGATGCCTGAGGTACTTCTCGTATAGCAAACATGAGATATGGTAGCAAAAAATCCCAATTTCTCCCATCTTTGTCCACCACCTTTTTTTAACATATTCTTAAGGGTCTTGTTAAACCTTTCCACAAGCCCATCGGTTTGGGGGTGGTAGACCGAGGTACGGAGATGGGAGATTTTGAACAATTTGCATAACTCTTTCATAACTCTAGACATAAATGGCGTGCCCTGATCCGTTAATACCTCCTTTGGGATACCTACACGACTAAACACCCGGACAAGCTCTTTGGCGATATTTTTTTAGCGGAGGTATTACGCAAGGGGATGGCTTCAGGATACCGGGTGGCATAGTCAAGTATAACCAGTATGTGCTGATGGCCCTGGGCAGACTTTACTACTGGACCCACCAGGTCCATGCCCACTCTTTCAAACGGTACTTCAATTATGGGTAGAGGTACTAGCGGACTGCGAAAATGGGGTGAGGGCGCGGAATATTGACATTCCGGACATGACTCACAATGCGCTTTGACGTCTCCATGTAAGCCTGGCCAAAAGAATCTCTGGGTTATTCTCTCCTTTGTTTTCTCTACACCCAGGTGTCCACCCATTATATGCCCATGGGCTAAATCCAGTACCATCCGGCGAAAGGGTTTGGGGACCACTAACTGTTCTACCACCTCCTCCCCCTGCTTTACCACTTGATACAGCAAGTTATTGTTAAGAGCCATGTAGGGAAAAGACACCGCTACATCATTTTCCACTGGTTCCCCATCAATCATTTTAATGTTTTCACGGGCTCTATTAAGTGTGGAATCTTTCAGTTGTTCCGTACAGAAATCCTCTTTTCTGACCTCTAGGTCAGGCACCACATTCTGTCCACTCTCACTAGAGCCAGCGATCATCTCTTGCTCTATCTCCTCAATGTCTGGGGTTGGATCCAACTCCTCCTGCTCCCCAGCCATTACAGATAAAGGGAAAAAGATCTACGCCTTCCTCGGACACACCGACAGTTTCCCCTTCCACCTTGCCGTCAAAGGGGTCAGGAGTGAGTTCAGGAGTTTTCTTTGTTTCCCCAGC